TGTTATTTCGTATCGAGGGAGTGAAAGCAATATTTTTCGGACCTGACTTCATCACGGTTACAAAAGTTGATGAGGATGTAGAATGGAAATTGTTGAAGCCAGAGATATTTGCTACCATTATGGATTTTTTTGCAAGCGGATTGCCGGTCATGGATGAAGCTTCCCAACCTGCAGCGGATACACGTATGATGTACAATTTTATACAAAATGTTCAGGTAAAATAAAATGCTGATCGTTTTTATTTCTATAGAAATTAATGCGGAAGATGATGAGGTTGTTCAGATGATAAAGGAATTATTGGATACACGAATACGTCCTACAGTACAGGAAGATGGTGGTGATATTGTATTTATGGCAAGTGTTTCTAAACTATCTTAAGGAATTCCATCATGCATCCATTGTCTCAAACGTAATAATACATTGTATTTCTTATAATTGCAATAGGGTTTCGAGGAGGGTATTGTGAAATTGAAAATGCAAGGTTCATGTACCAATTGTCCAAGCTCGGTAGTAACATTAAGAAACGGTGTACAAAATATGATGCAATTCTACATCCCTGAAGTACTCGGAGTTATACAAGTAGAGGATGAGACAGATAAGATTACCGAAAAAGAATTTCAGAAATTCGAACAAAATATTAAGAAAATGGAAGAAAGTAAAGACAAATAGAATTGTAGTTATAATCGTTTGTACGCGATAGTGGATTTGCATGTTATCTTATAATTCTGTACATTGTAGACATTGTATATTATATATTAAATGTAAATAATAAGACTTATAAATATTGTTGAGAATTGTAAGTTTTTATTACAAAGTATTTATCTGCTAGATACAGAAACTTGCCAGACACGAATAGTATTATCAGAATACCCGGCAAATAGTGTCTGGCCATCAGTGGACCATGCGAGAGACAGGCAAAGGGGAGGTTCTGATTTACTGGTTGCAGATACGACTTCGGGTTTCAGTTCCTCGACCATCTCTTTAGTCTCAAGATCCCAGATTTTGATCCATGGTCCAAACGCGGCACAAAGCCAATAACGATTAGGGCTGAAGCATAAAGCTGTAATGATGTCGTTATGATCCAAAGTATGAAGATGTTTTCCATCATTCAGATCCCACAGCATAGCTTTGCAATCCTGCGAATAGAATTAATATAATATATAATTCATATGATAAAAATGCATTTTGAATGATAAACATGGTATATGCCATACGCACCTTTCCACCAGATGCGCATAGTGATCCATCAGGTGATACTGTAACGGTATTCAGATATCCTGTATGACCACTATGATTGATCTTCAATCTGCAATTCGTTAAGTTCCAGACCTATAAAAGATGTGAATTGCTAAAATTACTAACGAATTTATCGTGCAATTAAAAACAAAATATATAGCATTTAATGTCAGTCCCATATCCGCATACACTCATAGATATATCATGTGTATAATGTATAAGATATCCATCATTCTTACCAAACATTTACATTTATCTTGACATTTACATGAATCTTGTAAATGTAAGCTTTATTCTTACCTTGACAACACGATCCCAGCCTGCAGAAACAATGATAGGATTTGCGTGGTTGGGAGAGAAGCGCACACAGCTGACCCAGTCTGTGTGTCCATCATCTTGGATGGTATATTTGCACTCAGCTAATGTATTCCATAATTTAATTGTCTTGTCTCGTGAACCGGAGACAATCTGACGATTGTCCACAGAGAAAGCGACGCTCAAAACATCCTATATTCAACAGAAATTAATTTTAACATTTAATTAATAAAGCAATATTTGTTTTATAATTTTTTATATATCGAATCGATACTTACGGCATTATTGATTTAATCCTACCTCTTCTATTTCTCAATAAAAAAAAAATATTAAAAAAAAAGCTTCAGTATCTCATATTTTTCGCGAAATTATTTCTTCCATCGTAATCAAGATAAATAAAAAAAATTCATATTATGAAGCGATACTTCATAATATAGAAAATTTTTCCTTTATCTTTTTTTGTGAAGAAAATTCAAATATGTATCGTCGTGACGCGGAGCGAAGTCACACCTTGGTATGGTCTTCAAATCTTCTAGTCGTACGACCCGCTGCCAAATCCCAAAGACGCAATGTTTTGTCCCACGAACCAGACAGAGCATAATTGCCGTCGGATGAAAGAACTACGTCGCTTATGAAGTGTGAGTGTCCATAAAGACGTTTTTGTGGGATGCCATAGTTAGCTTCGTCACGCGTCAATTTCCAAACGATCAGAGTCTTATCTAAAATGGAACAATAATACATAAGCTGCAATTGTTATTTCTAAGAATTTAGGATGATTTGACTAAACTTTAATTAACTTAATTATCACAATATCTGTACTATTTTATTAAGATGGATAAAAGTAAATTTTTATTATCTAAGACATGAGAAGAACGATTAAATTGAGAAAAAAATAATATAATTATATAAATTTTGCAGTAATTCTAACAGTTAAATTAATCGTTAATTAAGTTAATGAAAATTGCGAATATTGCAACTTAATTCATTTTACCAACTTAAATTATTTTTAACTTCAATTTAACTTATACTTTATCCTTTTCTAGTTTTGAGCATTAAGCTTATTTCTATCAATGTAGCTTTAATTGGATCAATTTACTTTCTATCTTTTCCTAATTATTAGAAGATAAAAAGAAATTTAAACCAAGATTAAAGTTAATAAACATTGGAAGAAATGGATTAGAAAAAGATAAAAGATAAATTAAACTGAAATTAAAGTAATCTATATTGATAAAAATAACATTAATGGGATGATGTAGATGAGGAGCTCTGTGTGAGAATAATCAATTAGCAACTTCAATCCTTCATCCTTGGTTTATAACAGACTGATTCAAGAATTTGAAGAGCATGAATAAAAGAATATATGAGATGAATTGAATACTCTTGATATAAAATCCAGTCAATTTTTTTAAAAGTTATTACAATATTAATAAAAAAACTGTTTTGGAGAATATTGCACAAAATATTTTACAAAACCTGTTAATTATTTCAGTTGTCCATTTCTTATAAAAGTAAAATATTTGATATATTAAATATACTCAAAGTTATTTTTGTCAAAAAATGGAGTTAATTGAATTTTTCAACAAGCTTTTCAATTGTAATCTGTTTTGGGAACGATAAATTAGGAAAAATAAGTTAGATACAGAAACTTTAAGCCTGTTCCTTCTTACAAGTTTATCTTTTCTTGTTTTCCTATCATATTGATAAGAACAAGAGAAAAATGAATTGTTCAGCTAATAAAAATAAGAAATTCAAGAAATTCAGCTAATAAAAATAATTTTTTATCTGCATCATCCTTAATTATATATAGTTTTACAATTGTTGAACAGATGGAATATTACATGTAAAGTTTACTAATTAAATAAAATTGTGTTTTGTAGCACAAAATTATAGTAAAAAAATGAAACAAATATAATACTGAATTAAAATATAGATTAAAAAATCAGAATTTTATTACAAAATTATAAAAAAGAGATTAGATAAAAGGAGGTAAAGGCTAGCAACAGTCGATACTTGCCACGTGAAGAGGATAAAATCATGTCCGGATATTTCGGATTTGTCGCAATTTGCGTGACCCATCCATTGTGGCCACGAAGCGTGCCTCTTAATTGTAAAGTTTCCGTCATTTTGAATCGCTCTCGGCTGCGTTATATCACCGATCAAAACGGATTACTCCGTGCTTACCACGTCAAATGATGAACGAAAAAGAACAAGCGGCACGCCGGACACGGTGCGCAATTATTTAACCGATATTCATAAATACATAGATGCGCCACCTACTATATCAGACATTGATGTTTAAGCCTACTACACACTAGACGCAATGAGCGATATCCAATTAAAACTCTGCTTTTTCTCACGTGATAATGTAAAGCGACATAATAAGGGACTCCGCACAATAAAAGGAACAGAGAACAGAGAATAAGAATTGTAATCTATCAGAAATTGTGTATTCCACAATACGCGAATTCTGATTGAAATTCTCTGTTCTCTGTTCCCTGTTTCTTTTATTATGCGGAGCCCCTCAGTTTATTGTTGTTGTCTATAAGCACAAATGCATCCATTGATCGCGTTCAGCAGACTTAACAATGCAGAGTGGATCTATAAAGCCAGTTCTACATTGCAAGCTGATTGCAAGTTGATTTCAAAATGCAAGCTTCAGATTAGCTGTTGCAATTAGGAGTCGATTCTGTATCTTCAAACAAGGTGAAAATTACAAAAGCGATCAAATTTACTAGGTGTTGACAATGAAATAATCAGTATTCTAATAAATTCATTCACTTTTTATAATTTTCACTTCATTTCAATATACAGAATCGATCCCCTAATGTAGAACCGGTTTAAGAGCTCGATGCTATTGGTGTATTCTTTTAGATCATCCAATATCCAGACAAATGGATGAACGTTCTTTCTCTGTTTACTAAAGCCTGATTGGTTGTTGTTGATCCAGCAGTATCTACCAATCAATTAGTCTTTATAAACTGTAGTAAATAGAGAAAAAAGTTATCCATTCAGAGAGAATCAAGGGAAAATAGAGCGGTAGCGTTTCTCTTTTCTGATTGGTTCCGTCATTTATAGCTCAATTTCTGCAAATGTGCATGATGTATTATATTGCACAATATAATACATATATATATATATATATATATATATGCATACACAATATTAGTGCGGTACTAATACGATATTAATGTATAATCATTTCAAGACACACACTTGACCTCCTGATTCCTAATGCGAGAAGAGATAAGAGGCAAAGAAAAAGAACGGTGATTGGTGCAAGAAGTTTAGACGAAAAGAACAGACTTGATATTTCATTGATGGTTACAACTGATTGGCTGTACTGTTGGATCCAGCCAATTAAACCGTGGTATTACGAGACGAAATTTAAATCGCTGCATACGTGCGCTTATCGTGTAATAGTAGTAGTAGTTCACGCCTATGCTTATGCTGGTATAAGTTAATCATCCATTCTTTTATGTACTCGATAGACGTCAGAATCATCCGTAGAATCATCGGTAACAAGTCGGAGCCGAGCGACGGACCCGACACTCCTCGTGCAATGATCGACGTGTCGTGTTGATCAATTAATAAATAGTCGAATCTGTAGTGGATTAATTCGGTAGCGGATAGATCATTTATCAAGTACGTGATTTTCATGTAGTCCAAGTTTTCGGTATATAGACTGATCTGGCGTTGATAGTTTTTAAAGTTACTGGCACAGGGTGTGATTTATATGGAAAATTTCAAGCGTGTCACCTTGTGTTTTTAATTCCTTGTCTTGATTTTGGGGTTGATGAAGTGTTCCATATCTCTCCTTCCAATATTCCTCCTGATTTCTTCGAAAAATGTGGAGCTATTATTAAATTATCTATTGTAATACGTTACTATGAAAGTTAATGTTAAGCTTTGACAAGACTAATTATTGTCTTGCATATTGTTAATCCATTTGTATAATCTTGACCTTTAAATTCCTACAATTGTTGGATATATACTTACTTCTTAACGTTGATAAATGTTTGGGAATGATAATTTTAAGAAAATAGATGTCTAGTTCAATGTTACATCGCTACATGTTTGCTTTAAAGCAATGAAGCAATGACATTTATATTTGTTACTCTAGCAATGGCTGCAGGTGGTAGTAGCTTTATCAGTAAACCAGCTAGAGGATGGTTGCATCCAGATCATTTAGTAAGTAAGGAAGGAATTAGTTACACAGTGAAGGTATGTTATCTACTATTTTGTTCAAGATATGTAAATAGATTTAAAGTCTCATGAAAAATTCAATATGTATTACAATATGTATTGCACAGGGTATCTTAAGAATAAAATTTTGCCATGTTCTTTATGCATGTTCTTTACGTAAATGATTCTAAAATATTATGTTATATTAGAAAGAAAAAAATAGGTTGCATTTTAAATGTTCCTAATACAAGCTTAATATTATTCAGAAATCGAATTTTGTATTCGTATAGTACATATAAATTTTTTATTAAATCTTGAATATATAAATTGATATACATATAATATATATAAATGGGTTTAGATTTTAAGAAGAATTTTTCTATCTATTTTGTATGATGATTTTTATTACAGACCTATCTCATGCCCATTGATATACTTATTTATATATTTATGTATTTATAAAAAAAGAAAAATAATATGTTTAATTTTTCTTAAAGAATATATAAAAAATGGAGCAGTATTCAAATCATTTGATTATTAAAGAAATTTTTATTATTATTTCTCTTTGCTTGTTTCTAATAACAAAATTGATAAAAGAATCTCTCAGAATGGAGCTTGAAGCTTTTAAGGCTTCTTGTTTTATAGAAATCAGAAATATTCGTACTTTAGTGATTTCTCATTGTTCTGAATATTAAAATTATCGTTCGTTCTATCTCTTATTTTGCTATTTTATTATCATTAGATAATAAAACTAAATATTTTTCTTGTTATTCATTATTTTCTATATCTTATTATGTTTTATTCAAAATGTAATTTTTTTAAATATTTAATTTTTAATACTTGTGTAAATTTCTGCCTAAACACATACATATATATATGTGTGTGTGTGTGTGTGTGTGTGTGTGTGTGTGTGTGTGTGTGTGTGTGTGTGTGTGCGTGCGTATCATATAATAATATATAATTATGTAATAATGGATTCAGATATTATCAATGAAATAATATTTGTTAACACACTTTATTTAGTACTGTGTAGTACGATGAGCTCTTAAATTTATTTCATGAAATTCCCTGAGGTAAAGCGTCACACCTTAACTATTAGAAATGAAAGCAGCAAGGGAAGGGCAGCATATAAACGCATAAGAAAATTAATTAGAAAATATCACTAATTCCACTGAAAAAGATAATCTATTAATTCCATTTATTTACTTTCTTTTATCTAATCTTTGTTTACATTACAGTATATTGGATGTCTTGAAGTAAAAACGTCTATGAAAAGTTTAGATTTTGAAACACGTTCGTGCGTAGCTAAGTAAGTTATCATAAAGTTATAACTTGTTGCGAGTGGATTCTTTCAAGTACATGATGAACACAACCTTTTATTTTCTTTTAGAGAATGCATAAACAGAGTTTGCGAAGCTGCCGGATTAAAGTCTGCTGACAAAAAGAGAAGGGTAGATTTCATAAAAAATTATTTTTTATTTATAGATATAATTATATTTATGCCTGTAATTTTTATTAAATTTTTCTGTATTAGGTTGATGAAAAAGTATTAAGAGCCATAGCAAATAAACCTTGTATGGATTATAGCGCTGCTAATGTTACTTTAACCATTAGCAGTTGCAGTTTATCCTTGACTAATATTGATACTGGACACATTATTGCGAAACATGATATGCCACGTATATCTTTTGCTTCAGGCGGTGATACGGTAAAGAGCATACACATTGACATATATTGCATTTCATTTTTTGTACATTTTATTTCACTATTTTTGTACATGTATGAAAAAAAGCTGTATATAATTTACAGTAAAAATTCACAATATATATTAGTTGTAATTTTTACTTTGGAATTAAAGCTATGTTTTATTATGTAATAGGAAATACTAGATTTTGTTGCATATGTTGCTAAAAATATGCAAGAATGGCGTGCTTGTTACGTGCTTGAATGTACAGGTGGTTTAGCACAGGATGTTATATCCACTATTGGACAAGCATTTGAACTCAGGTTTAAAGAATTTCTTACAAAACCAAGTTCCCTGCAGTAAGTTGTAAAAATAAATGCGTTTATAGATCTAAAGTTATATAACATTCTTTGTTTATAATTTTGTGTATTTATTTGTTAGCCCTGTACTAAACGGTGTCAGGGAAGTAGACAGGGATTATTACAATGATCTACCAGGGAAAGTACCTCCTGATATTGGCCCACCGCCAGTACCTCCCTTGCCTAATACAGCATCTACACTGCCTAATCTAAAGCATCATCAAAATAATGCATCACGTACTCACGTACAAAATATTGCAGTTGATTCATTCCCATCTGCTGCAGACAGACATCAGCAGTTGGCAGGTAATATCTTTTAAAATGTTGTTACACATAAATTGAACTCTAATTTTTATATATAAATTTGTTTTTATACTTATTCCTCCGTTTCATCTTTCTCGACAGAAACTGGGAACCTAATTGATTTAAATTCAGATAGCACTATATCCCCATCAACGAATTTAAATATAATGTCTGAGCATAATTATGTGAATGACAGTGTCATAGCTGCAAACAGAGACAATCATCGTGATCCGACATCACTTTTTGATGTTTTTGATATGCGTAAGAGAATTATTGTTTTATCGCAAATCTCTTAATAAAGATTCAAAATTTATAATTGTTTTAAAATAATGATCTTTGATTGTTGTAATCTTCATATTTATTTATGTCGTATGATTACATTGCAATCTCAAGTATATTTTCATATGCAGATATGATGTAATATCAAAATTTTTCATAATTTTTACTTATTTATAATTATTTATAATTTATTGTATTTATAATTATTTATAATGTATTGTATCATATTGAGTTTTTTATTTATAATCACAGAGCCGTTCAGTTCTGCAATATCGGATATGAATAGACTAAGTCCTCGATCACAGAAACAGCAATTAAAACAAGAAATTTGGTTTCACGGATGTGTTAGCCGATCTGAAGCAGAATCTATGCTTACTAGAGTAAATATATGTCTATAAAAAAAAATATAAAGATCTCTTATCATCTAATATTTATTTTTGCTATTTTATTTTTAAGGATGGCGACTTTTTAGTTCGAGAGTCACAAGGTTCTCCTGGCCAGTATGTTCTGACTGGAATGAATAATAATATCCCAAAACATTTGTTACTAATTGATCCTGAAGGCGTCGTAAGTATGAAACGAAATTCATGTAACAATATTATTAATGCAAAAATTAAAGCGTACATGTGTGATCGGAAATTTCTAAAATTTATCAATTATAAATCTACATGTCTAAATATTTTTCTGCATTTGAATTTTAATAAATAATGATCATAAAGTATCACAATTTTAATTTACAGGTTCGCACAAAAGATCGCGTATTTGATAGCGTAAGTCATTTAGTGAATCATCATTGTGACAACATATTGCCTATCATATCGGCTGATAGTGTTTTAGTACTGCGTTACCCCATCCCTAGGCATACAAATTATTGATTTTAAATGTAGAACAATGACTAAGGGCGTAGACTTGGACAAAGATTTTCTGAATAGTTATTTTGCATATCTTTGCATGTGAAAATCTTTGACAAGTCTTGGCTTTTTGTGATATTTTTAAAATCAGTTATACATACTTCAAAAGATATGGTTTGTAGTATCTTTTTATTGTATATGAATAGATGATTTATGAATATCTCTCTGTGAATCTCCTTATGAAATGTGCCAACCTATATATACCTATAACCAAAGTAATATAATTTTTATAATTTATCGAAATTAAGCACATTCCGATTTTTTGTATAAAATATTGCAATCTAATTTGATAACTTTGGATTTATGTAAGATTTGTAAGTAGAAAAATTTTATACATAACTATATATTTTAGATATAGAATATGCTTTTTACATCAAATATATTATTGCAACCCCATCTCTCATGCAAAACTATAATAAATATAATTTCATGCAATATATTGTGCCACTATATTATTTTATTTCATTAATTTTTAACATTAAATAATCTATAGGCTAAATTTATTAATTTAGAATTTGAAACTCAATTTTCTTTCTTATAGTTGTGTAATTTCTTTTTTGTTCAATATATTTAACATTAATTTATAATTTATTGGTGTAGATAATTGTTTATATTATAATATTAATAATCTTATAAAATTAATAACTTTTAGATATTAAACATTTACATTAATTTATATTAATAGTATCTATTACACATTATTTAGTAAACTTATTGAATATTTTTTTGTTCATTTACATATACGCCTCACACACGCGCGCGCGTATACATAATTAATATTTTAAAAAATACGTATAATAAAATTAATATTTATTTTAAATATATTTTTTTTAATATTTAAATATTTAACAAAATTCTTTTATCCTGAAATTGTTTTTTATGATAATAAATAATTAGGTATTTCACAATGTATTTCACAAAATGTATTTCATAATTTATTTACAATACATATTTTATAATAAATATACAATATTTAATTTATTTACAATAACGATCAGCTTTCATTTTACTTCTTCTATCTAATAGAATTTCATGTAAATTTCCTTCCACTTTTGCTTTTTCCAACTCGGAGCGATCAGATTTGTTTATTTTTAACTTTTTATCTTGAAACTTTTGAAATTTCCGACTGTGAAATTAAATATTGTTATTATTAGAAGTTTTAAATATCTGATTTAAGATAGAACAAAAGAAATAGCAGTTAAGGGAGGATCCTGATGTGACACTGAAAATAACGCGATTTTTGGGAATTTTTTTTATATAGATGATTCAATGAAACTTTTTAAAGGCCACAGTATGTTTTTCAGCAAGACGGTGCATCGGTTCATACGAGTCATTTGATTCAAAATTGGCTCTCAGACAAGGGTCAATGTTTTGATCCAAGGAATTCTGGCCTCCTAACAGCCCAAATTTAAATTCCTTGGACTATACTACGTATGGAGCGTAGTTGAAAGGGTCATAAACAAAGTCTCG